TGATCCAGGCGGGGCCTGCGCAAACGCGGTGCTGCGGGGCCCGTCTGCGTGGCCCCAGCTAGTACCCGCGGGAAGGAATTGAAAATCGGACAAAACAGCGTGGCTGGACCAAGCCTTGCCTTGCCCATGGCATTCACCAGCTGCTTTTTTCAAGCCCAGGAAATGAAGCAAGGACCTTGCGTCAAAATCAAATCCCAGGGGGTCTGTGGACCTCACAGCACCTGGAGTTTGGTACCAGAGAACTGCAGAGCGGTGGCATCCTTGAATAACTTTCAGAGAAAGATCTATTCATCGAGTTTGTTTTCAAGTGTGTCTTTCACTCAGAAAGACGGAGCTTGCTGCAGAAACTCCCGGAAGCTGGTATTTGTGGCCAGGTCCACACTTTTCTACTTGGCTACTTTGAAGCACATCTCATAAGGTGCTTCCAGGTGCAGAATGACCCCAAGGGCAGGTTCCAGAAAGCAGCCTGCAGACCTCAGAGCACTAACAAAGCATGGGTGGTGCTCCATTCCCTCCCAGGGTCCAAGCAGGCAGCAGCAGAGCTGGACTGGTCTCCGTGCTCAGCTTCCTGCTGGTTTTTGGCTTCCTCAGGCACTGGTGCAGTGGCACAGACCTGCTCTCTCCTGAAGAACCTGGGCTGGGACTCAGCTGATCTAGCTTTGCACCTGTGGTGCATAGGCAGTGCTCCCTGGTCTAGTCAGCCAGAAAGAGCGGCTTTTAGGGTACGGTTCATCTGATCTATTCTAGACAGACGTCTGCTTTGCAGTAAGTCACCCCCAAAGTGTCTCTTTCTCCCCATTGACCACACGGGGAGCTCGCAGCGACTAGCTTGGACAAGGCATGCACGGGTGAAGCCCAGCGGGCACCGAGCCTGCATTCAACCCTCTCAGCTGGAGCCTGGCAAAGGGCCTGTTGTGGTTGGGGATCTCAGAGAACTGGTCAACCAGGGCACGTGCAATACGCAGCTGTGGCTGCTTGCTGTTAAAATGTTATTGACATTATGGTGTTGCAGTCTGGGTTTCACAAAATAACCTAGCAGCTGGATTCTTTGCTCAGGAGAAGGAGGATTGTTCCCCTGGTCTGCCCCCCCTTCTTGGAGGGGGTCCAAGCCCATCTCCTGCTCCCAGTGAGCAGTCATGAAGTGGCAGCCTCCTGGGCAGAGATTCTCCATCTCCACAGCTGAAACTGTTCTGTGTAGGTCTCTTGGAGACCATGAGCAAATACAGTATCAGCACTTTTACATTCCTTGATATAAATGAAGTTACGTGGCCAGAAGCTGAGACTTCTGATGTTTATTGCAAGTGCTGTTTATAATACCAACATGAAAGCAGAGCATTGGTGCATTAGAATTACATTCACTTTGGAGAAGAGCACCAGAAAAACGGTAATATGATCACACATAAACTACTGGGGGAGCTAGACCCAGTCAGGAAAAGTGATCTGTGCTCCTTTGTAATCACTCTTGGAACTTTCAGAGCAACTTCAAGCCAAAGGTCTCGAAGCACTTCAGAGGTATATAATAGGTGGAGCCACAGCAATCAAAAGCTGTGGCAGAATTCACACTGATTTTTGTAGACTTTGGATAAAATTAATGGGTAATGTCTAACAGGCAGCTGGAGGTCAGGAACTGTTGCCCCCAGCCACTCTGCTTGAACCACCAGGCACCTTTCTTCCTCTTCTAGTCTCAGCTCATCAGTGTCATTGCTCTAAAATAAATGGCACCAAAGTTCACACCTTGTAACCGTGCACACGGAGACGAACAGAGCTGTTGAAGAGCAGAGAGGCTGTTCCCATCACACAGTCTGACCCTCTGCAGCACACAGCAGCCGCTCCTGACTTCTGAAGTCTACAAATGATGGAAAAGCCTCGCAGTCCTGGCTAATTGTTCCAATAATCAAATGCTTTTATTGCCTGGAGCCTGCACTTAATCCTTGCTCTCAGTCTAGTGGCAGTTTTCAACACTGAATCCCTGTTCTCAAAGGCACTTCTGAACAAAAAAAAGCACAAAAACTGATTTAACAGTTAGATGAGGTTTCTACCATTTAAAACTGTGCTGCACAGCGTAAGTATGGTAATCTGTATTATATGAAATTATATATGTTTCTTATACATATATTCAAAGTATCTTTTAATATATTGTTTTGTATAATATGCAATAGGTGTACATCTATGTCAGTCAGTTCTGTCTTCTCTGCTTTCGCTCTACTGAAGACAGGCCAAAGAAATGAATGGTTGTGCTTTGGTTCGGTGAGACCTGAAATCATTCTTGATTCCTTCACAGGGAGGAAAGTCTAGGGGCAGCTGATCAGAAAATTATGATATTTTAGCTGTTGCTCTGATAAAGCCTTGTTATTCCTTGATTTTGTAGATCCAAGCAAGGAAAATAGTTTTGTGCATGGCCAAAATGAGGTCTTACAGTGAAGATCAGGAGGAAGAATTATTTGGAGCTGGAGAACACCATTGCCCATACTGAACCAACAGTGTGAATGAGAAAGCACATAGCTGTGCTTTAGGGTCAACATACTTGTTTCCCCATGCAGCAAGTTGCATGGGACTCACAAGATGCTTTATCTTCCCTGAGCCTGCCCCCCAAAAGGCTGAGCGCACCAGCTAAACTCATCTCAACTGGATGGAGGCATCCTGGGCACGATTAGCTTTTAAATCTGGCAGCTCTTAGACCCATGGTGTCTCTTTGCAGAGCACTCAGTCATTCCGAGGTTAGAGTATGCGAGCATCACTACAAAGGTAGTTGCTTTTCACCCAGCTGTTGGCCAGCTGTGGGAGACTACAGCACCAGCAGTGATGGCTCTGACAACGTGTTTGCGTACATCATTGCTCAGAGCATGCTGTAATATCGTGTTAGGCTGTTGGTTTTTTTTTTCTTGGAAGGCAAGTTTATGCAGTTCAGCAGCAGCAAGAATAGTAAAGAAAGACGAGTTTTCATCCATTTCTTTCCAGGTTTCCTGAGTGAAACCACAGCCTGTCTCTGCCTCCCCTTAAAAAAAAAAAAAAAAAAAAGGAATTATCTCTAAATCACAAAAGTAGAATGAGAGGAATTGAGGAAGCAGAGCGGCTGCCCTAGAGAAATACCCAGGAAAATAAATACAAAAGCCTGTGTGTCTTTCTGTCATGAAAACAATGCAGTCAACTTCTTCAGTTAACAAAGTTTTAACATTTGTAGTTGCCAGGTGTACCTGTGGCTCACTTGGTGGCATAGGGATAGGAAGATCAGAATTACAGCGGTGCTACCGGTTACCACAGAACTTCTCTAGGTTACTGAAAACCACGTGTATAGAAATCAAATACATCGTATTTAGAGCAAATGAATGCAAACAAGGGTGGGTTGGAGCGCTGAATGTGTGACAAGCCCTGGTGGTGCTGGAGGTTAAACAATGCTATAACAACCACTGCAGACATGGTAAACCAATAACCTGTTCAGAGGGTATAAATCACTCGTTCCTATTCCGTCATTGTGGTGCTCATGACACACTGGGTTTCTGACTGTGCAGTGAAATAGCATTTGACTGAAGTTTGGTGTTTGTAAGGGAAGTTTTTCCTGAGCCAAACCGCTCCTTTAGAGTGCAGCAAAGAGCCGCAGCACCATGATGGGTGGTTTTGTAAAGCATAGGATCCTCAGTGAAATTACCCTGGGTGTCCCCATCCAGGCCCTCTGTTGTACAATAAAAACCATATATGTCACAGATTGGATAAAACCTTCATTGACTGTCCCTGCTCAACTTAAACCAAGTATTTTCTTTTGCACCTGATATCAGTCCCTTGCTGCCAAAAAAACCTTTTTGTAATCAGGAAAGAAAAGAAGCCAAGACATTGAGTATTAAGTCATCATTTATAATTAATTTTCTTCAGATGAAAATAATTTTCTGAAATCTTGTAGGGTTTGCTTGTTTTATATCAGGTTCTTAGACAGCACTTACATTATACATGCCCACACTCGGAAAAGATTATTTCACCCCATGTGTTTATTGTCATTATTCTTTCGAGTGTGTGCCACTTGATTCTGTAAAACATTAAATACGCCAGCGGAAATACCAAAGGTGAAGATATTGAATGTTCCTAGTGCTACAAAAGATAAATAAGCTGAAGGCATTGACATGACAGCCTGAGATATCATAACAAGCTGTGGGTTTTCTCCACTCCCAAACTACTTTCAAGCCATGGTCTTTTTCTACAGCAAGATGAGAGGGCGAGGAAGGGCTGAAATAAAATACTGAATGAAAAGAAAATATTTTTAGCTGTTACCAGCACACTTTTTAACCCTAATGTGCTTTTCACCCATTCTGCTGCTCAGCAGGGACAGGAGACCCCACTCACCGGTGAGAAAGCATGTCCATGTGTACGCTGCCCTTCCCAAAGGGGTGGTCCAAGGACGTGGCCATGCCAGTCTGGAGGCACAGAGCTCTTCCAGGAGGAAACTGCCAGTGGCTGTAGCCCAGGGCCAGTGGGCAGCAGATGCTTCTATCCGGGACTCTGCTTTTATTTCCTCTCCCCCCCTTTCACATCCTTCCCTTCTGCCCTGCTCCCACCTGCCCCTGCCAAAGGTAAGTCTGGCTTCATCCTGCCTTTGGGTCCAGTTTACACAGCGGTAGCCACCTTATGTTTTGCAGCTAGGGTATATAGAGAGAAAATCACACCTGCCAGCATCTGTGAATTCTTTGGCTGTTTGGAGCAGTGGTCAACTGGGTGGTTGGAGCCTTGTACACCCTGCTTTAAGGCTGGCTTAATGGGACAGGAGGTCAGTGTCTGCCTTGGGGGACTGGTGAGGACAACACCCTGTCCTCAGACTCCTCTTTCTGCTTTTGTAATCTCAGCCCATCCCGTCCTGATGTTTCTGATTGCCCTGCCCAGGGCTTGGCAGCTGGGTGTGTCTCTGTCATCAGCTCTTTCCTCTTCTCTGAAGGCTCTTTTTTGCTTGGTGCCTCTGCTCTGTCTGTCCCCTGGCCACCATCGTCAGTGGCACTGGATGTTACCTGCACAGCTGGCGTTGGCTGAAGGGGCTCACCGCTCTTTTTCCACCTCCTGGCTCCTGACCGTGTATTGAATTCATACATTTTGCCTGTGACTTGCAAGGGAGAAAAGACAATCGATTAAAATAATTCCTGCTTTAGCAGAGTATGACATGACAGTCCTCAGGATGGGGCTGAAATGGGAAACGTGAAGCACCTGGAAAATCAGATCATTTGGGGAAGGCAGCCCTGAGAAGGAAAGCCTCAGCTGGACAGGGTGCTGGGCCATCTTGTCTAGACTGTGCTCTTAGCTGGAAAGGTTGGACCAGATGATCCTTGAGGTCCCTTCCAAACTAGGATTCTATGTTCTATGATTTCTGCAAATAAGCGTGGGGACCTGGGTGTCATGGTGGCCTCTCAGGGGAGATGCTATTCTATCAGTATAAAAACTGACTCTGCAGTTCAGGGAATAGAAATATTCAAATTAGGACCTTTTAATCCTCTCTCTTTGGATAGAAACTACCAGCTGCCATGGATTAACATGGGCAGTGTAACAAACACAACCATAGTCCTTAGCTGTTAGGACTAACTCTTCCCAAACTTAGGTCTTTGGCCATGGTTGGAAAGGCCTATTTTTGTGTATGTGTGTGTGCCTATTTTTTCAAACAGAGTTACCTACTTGATGTAGCAAAACCTGCTAGGAGCACAATGTGCTGCATGCATCTTCCAGACCATGTCAGGCCATCTTGGTTGACACAAGATTTGGAGACCTGGGATCCCCCATGAGTTTTGGCTGTGTGCATTGCTTCTCCATTTGCACAAAATGCTTTCATTCAGGCTTGCTGTGCACATTGTCATTAATAGAGTGAAATACTATGTATTTTCTGTTTGTGCAAGTTCGTGCTTCCCTCATATGTATAAAATATTGTTAAATTTGCATTGTTTAGCACACATGGCTACTTTTCCTTGTTAGAATGATTTTTTGGCCCTCTTCAGATTTTATGCATAATTTCTACTTGTACATTAAAAGAAATATCTTCTCCTTCAGTTCATTTACTACGTAGAGATAGGTGGAAAAATTGTGATTGCTTCACAGTGTAAATCACTGCCTCTTGCTAAACAGCAAATCAGGAGCTATAGTGGCACTTCTTGCAATTAAATATTATTGATATGAGGCAGACAAAAGACCATTAAGGCCTGGAAAGGAACAGTGGTTGCGTGTTATTACATGTTACAGTTTGTATCAGAATTAATGGTTTCTGACACATTAACACAATTTGAGCAATTAAAGATGAAACTGGATCTCTTTACATGTTATTTCCTTGGACTGCTTACAAGGCAGGCATGTTAAAGCAGCCCAGATCAGGAAGCAGCTCCTGACCATCCCTCCTAATCGTATGCAACAGACTGTGTCCTGGGAATTACTCAGTCTTATCTCCAAACTGCCAAGACTTGATCCTCTAGGGTTTGGGATGAGCCATGGAGGGGAGAGAGGAGGAGTGGGGAGCACACACTTCTCTGCTGACACCACAAAGCTGTGTTATAGTTTAATGTTTGTGTCAGGCATGATACAAAAGTTACAGCTCTGGGGGGCAGTTTGGCTGGGCTCAGATAGCCTTAAGACCGGTGTGGTCAGGTTTGCTGTAGGAAGGGAGCCACCAGCCGTCCTGCAAAAACATGGGGAAGCAGCTCTTGCAGTGGCCTAGAGAACATCCATGTTTAATGTTTTACAAATGCAGTTACATAGGGAAAAAGCAGGGACTTCAGAGCCCATTCCTCCAGATCTCTGTATAAACAGCAGGCGGGCTTGGACCTGGACCAAACTGGCCTCAAACAGCCTCATGGATGGGCTTAATTACACAGTAGAGTTCCATTTGTTCACCCAAATTCTAGTGAAGTCCCCATGCCCAATGTTTCCTATCAGTTCACAGCATCCGACCGCTCCAACCCGGCTAATAAGAAACACAAGGTACAGGCACTTGGACAGAAATTTGGCCAGATGAATCCAAGCCTTGAAACAAGCCTGGCTTCTGGATCATTTTAGAGCTATTTTGGGGACCAATTTTTGGATCTATTTGTGTAAGACCTATTTTGACTGACTATCACATTTTACCAGCCCCCCTCTCCATGCTGGGTCCCTCAGCCATTAGACATGGGGCTGGGCACCCTAATGCCGGGCCAGCCATCACGATGCGGGGCTCAGGCAGGGGCTGTGGTTCAAGGGGATGAGGTAAGGAGGATCAGCCCTTATTAAAAAAACATTTTTCTATAATGAACCCTGATCCAGAGCACAGTGGCCATCACTTGGAGAAGGGGATAAGCACTACAGCTCCTGGGTCGTCCTGGTTTTCCTAGCTTTCACCTTAATTTCACTTTTCCCAGCTGGTTAATCAGATAGCTCAGAGTTAGCATAGCTGGAGCCTGGTGACACCCTCAGTAGCTGATGCCACCACAACTGTATCTGAAAGCAAATGGTCTTCCCTTTCCTCCCCAACAGGCAATGCTTGGGCCTTAGATAAGCAGCGGCAATGCCCTGTTGCTGCAAGGGAGGAGGTTTGTGCAGGAGCGGGTAACTCACCCACCCATCCTGCATCCAGGTTTGAGAGACAAAATCAGTACATCTGTGGCTACATTAATCTGCTGGCCGTTTCCCAGACATGGGAAGGGTGAAACCACTTAGCCATGACGGCACCAGAGCAGGAGGCTTGCAGCAAATTCCTTCTCCCCTCCCACCTTCCTATACCAGATCCATACATTCAAGTTTAGCAGCAGAGTAGTGAATAATCTGGCCATCGGATGTGCACTTTCAAGGGCCATAAGTATGTTCTACCATTAGAAATGTTACTAGGGCACTGTCTTGATTTTCACTATCTGTGAAATACAGCTCCCGTTCTCCTTGGAAACAGCAAACCTGGAATATGAAAAGCAAATGTCGAACCATATTTAAATCAACTAATGCAGTTTGTTTCCAGCCAAATATTCATATCCACTGTTAATTGCTTTTTATTACCTGGGTCTCTGGCTTCTCCATCAAAGACAGTGTTTAGCTTTGTCATTGTCTGTGAAGAGAGACAAAGCGCGAAATGAATCCTGTGAATTAGTTAAGAAGCAGGAGTAGGGACTTGGAAACAGTGGCCTACATGAATGGAGGTGGATTTGTATGACCTGCATATTGAACTGTAGGCTGGGTTTAATCAAAACTGGCAACAAAAGCCGTTTGTGGTGTAGGGTGTTGCCTTGAGATGTTCAAAGGAGAATTAATAACGTCTGACATGCTAAATGCCTCCACGTGTGCAACCACAAGAGGGTCACCTCCACCCAGAAGAGGTTTGGGAATCCCCTCTGAAGAACCTGGGGAGGGAGAGTATACTAATGAAAGTGCCTTGCAGCCTTTTTGCTACTATGGCTATAAAAAAGGAAGGAGCCCTGAGATCTAGGAGCATCCTGCCTCTGCTGCTCCGGGCACAGCCTCTCTCGCCTCCCACATACAGGGCTGCCAGAGAGGCTGGAGAATTCGGCACGTTGAAGCAAAGGGGCCATAGCACGGGTGAGCACCCTCACAGCCAGAGTTGCCTCCAAATACAGAGGCCAGTTGGGGCACTGAGATGTTTTGCATTTGAGGGCAAAACTTTTTTTCCTTGCCTACCATTTTTATATTCTCTTTGGAAAACAGACACCTTTCATAGAAAGGGTCCTACAATCATATTGCATGATGGGGCTGGGCAAAAACTGGGTTTTGTTTTGAGGTCAGCAGTACTTACCACAACCACTTCTTTCTTAGGTTTCTTCTTTTCTACAGAAAGGAAAAGGCACATTGTGAAGAACCAGATTTCTCAGACAGTGACTATAGACACTATAGCCAAGATTTCCTCAGACAAACAGACATTCTTGGTACTCAGCTTCTGAGACATGTCAAATGAGCTTTATCTCTTTTCAAAGGCTGATCCCTCATACTATCTGAAAAGCAAACTCCTTCATTGCATTTTGGAGTGAGAGTCCACAGTTGCCGATGACTAATCAAAAGTTTAGCCTTGAAAAGTCTTATTCCTTCAGTAATGAATAAATAACAATAGTTTCTTTAACAAATTTCTCTTTCTAAATAATATGAACAGATACAGAAATTCATCTTTGGGGATATTTGAACTACAAATACAGTTTGTTTGTTTGTTTTTTTTCCCATGAATGTTTGTAGTTGCAAAGCTTGTGCACTCAAATTTGCACTTGGGAGACAAAACAGAGAAGTGCTGTGGATCCAGTCAAGTAGCATTCAGATTGAAGAACAGTTTGGTTATGTGTGAATTTACCACACTATTAACTCATCCCACATGGAAACAAAAACAGCAGCAGTGCCACGGGCATCTCAACAGCATGGATTTGTGGATGATGCCCAACTAGTTGCTATGATTTCTTCTTGCTTGTTCCTCGCCTATTTGTTTAATGGCCTTTCTTTGGAGAACTGTGTGCCTGGCCACCAACAGGCTTTACAACCGGGCGTGCAATACTCAGAAGTGCTGCAGATGGGTCTCAACCTGGACACTGATGGGAAACCTGTTCTGTCTGGCCTTTGCTGCCCAGCATTTGGGAACCAGTTTTTCAGAAAGCACCAGGCATCCATTTTTTGGAAACCAGCCAATGCTGAAATATCTCAAATTGGGCAACCAAGAGAACAGCTAATTTTGTTGGGTTTTATTAGTCATGGGTGGTTTTTTTCCAAGCTGGGAGATACTGACTGAGGAGAGGGAGTTATAAAAGCAGGGTCTCACTGAGCGCATATGAACCATGCTTGCTAGCAGAAAAGCTAATGGGACTAAAAGGAACAAGACTGCTTAAAACCCCACTTTTTTTATACCTTTTTAATGTGCAATTTATACCCCTGCTAAATTATACAGACCCCTTTAAAAACACCAAAACTTTAAAATAGAACTTCAGGTACATGAAGTAATGGTGTCAAGGCAGCAAATGAAGGGATCAGAGAACAAACAACTAGAGTGGAGAGGACTCTTGAAGGTGCTGTAGAGGGATGGGATTATTTTTTTAACAGATGTTGAATTGCATGTGAAAAACACAGTAATTCTTTAGCATCCATGCCAGAATACCAGGCTACTCTGAATTTGGTTTTTACCTAATGGTTAATAGATTTGACGACCAAAAGGACCATGAAATCACTTAGGCAGGCCTCCCATAATCAGCCAGGGTTATTTAATCTCAGTACTCTTGTACTGGGTCAAAATTATTTGAATAGAAATGGATTTACAAATTTTACCCTGAATCGTAAACAAGGTCTTGTAATGCAGTATTAAAATACAGAAAAGAGGTACACACCTGGAGCATTTATCCTGTAAAGAAAAAAAGATTAAGAGCATAGTTAACAAATGTCATACTTTTGCCTGCATAAAAATATCCTGCTTTGTTCTCTTTCATTTGGCAAGAAGGATGTGTCTCCTTGAGTTCTGGGACTTGCTTGATTTGTTTGGTTTCTGGTTTTGCTTTCACTGAAGGCCTCCATCATTTAATGCTGCTCTCAGGAAAACAGGAAAACAACCCTGAGCATTGCTCTAACATCTCTCCAAGAAGGGATATTAAAAAAAATAAAGTCTTACTGATGATAGCATGATGGGTTTATATAATACAGAAAAATATATTTTCAAGTATTGTCATCTTGTTCCATCCTTGGAGGAAGGTCAATTTTTTTTATATGATGTGCTCAGATAATACCTTTTAAAATATTTGAAAGGTTGTAAATATTCTTGAAAATATAGAAATTGCTTTTTAATGGGAGAGCCTGGCTCCCAATGAATCACTTGCCCTATTAATAAATAATGACAATAGCCAAGCTATATGCTGCCAGATTCATTTGTTGTTTTTATCACAAGTTGCTAAATACCTTGCACGCACCATTTGAATATATTCCCTCTTTACATTTACTATAATTTCTAAATTTAGGTCCAAATCCTGAGAATACTTACAGAAATCCTTTTTTTTTTTTAATCCCAGTCCACTTACTTAAAGACCTGCTTATCTTTGTTTTGTGAAGTAAAAAGCCAATTTAGAGGCAGCCTGGCTCCAGCCCGCTGAGAAGGCAGCCAGCAGGGATCTCTGCCGCTTCCCACAATGAACCAGAGCCAGTCCCAGGTGCTTCCGGGGCTTTTGCCAAGCGCGAGCACTTAGAGGTACCGTGAAGCTTTATGGGCCAGAGCCTTGCAGAGGGCTTGGGTCAAACTCCAGGAAATCTGCAGAAGTTTTGCCAGAACAAAGAATTTGACATGAGCACCAAGGTTTGGAAAGGACTCTGGGGTCTGTTGCTGAGAGGGAGGAAAATGCATCCAGTAACAACCTAGATGGGAGCTGCCTTGGAGTGGGAGCCAAATACAAACCAAAAACATTTGTATTTTTGTTCAGCAAAGTCAGGCACAGACTCTGACTGCGCCTCATGAGCACAGCTGCCTTTAGAGGTCATAATTGTTAATTCCCACTTTTACCTTCAGCTAATGCTAATGTTAGTAAATCCATGAAAAAAAAATGCCATGGACATTTTTTCCTTGATTCCGTGTCGTTAACACCAAATATCACTGTAGCCAGTAATAGCATTTACTGCAGCAAAGGGCATACCGCTATAGAATATTCAAAGCATAGATTTCATTATGGCTGAAAGGCCTGAGTTCTCTCTGTCATTGCCAGGTGTTGCTGGCCACTTCCCCAGCAGGACGTTTGGGAGGACTCACAAAGGCGCGCCGTCCACTCTGCCTGCCGGAGGGCAGCTGGTGCAGACCCACGTCGCCAGCAGGAACCCCAGGTACCCCAGCAGTCCAAGGAGCAGCAAACTGCCGAGGGTGACGACGAACGGCACGTACCACGCCGATTCAGAGTACAGGTTTTCCCTTTTCGTCACAACAGTGAAGCCAGGCTTTTAAAACAAGATAGGTAAAGTTCCTCAAGGCTGCATACTTGTAAGGTTACTGACACCAACGGCACCTTTCATCTGGTTGAACTTCTGCCCAAGCTTGCCCCGGGGGTCTGCAGATGATGGGCAGAGGGAGATAGCGTCTGCTGCAGACAGTGATTCATCCCACGTCCCTGCCTGCTGGCTGCCCAGGCAGCTGGGATGACTGAGATGGACCACCGAGCTCCTGGGGCAACCAAAGGCAGGTGAAATGGAGCCCACCCACGATGCAAAAAGGAGGTTCCAGATCGTGTTTCAATATATTAAAACAAGCATGCTGTGGTGGGGTTTAAAAGCCTCAGGCTGCCTGAGAAGCTGTGAGTGCACTGTTGGAGGGTGAGCAAGTTCAGGGAACACCGCCTTTACCAAGATAATGGTTTCTTGTTGCCTAAGGCAAAACTGGAAGTAGGTCATTTTCACTGCAGTGATTGTTTGGCCCCCTCCGTAAGAGGAGTTGAACCCCGAGGAACTGGGTTATTGTAAAAAAATAAATGAAACTCCTTTTTTTTCCCCCATGACTCGTTCCAGAAGGAAAAACCACACTTCCTCAGCAGTTGTGATCTCCCACATCTTCCCGAGTGCCAGGAGACACAGCTCTGAGCTGTCACAGCACTTGGTGCTAGCAACTCATCGTTAAGGTCCCATCATGAAATTGTCCTCACACGGATCAGAAATTACTCATCTGCTCTTCCTGGGTCATTACCTATTGTGGTGCTATTAGTTTTGATCATCTACTGAAGTTTTTATTTAATTTTCTGTAAGACATTTGTAATCACATTGTGTATGAAATTTAGTAGGGCTATCTATTTCTTTCCTGTTTAAGGATACCTTTAAAATAACTTAGCCTTACAAAAAAGGTACATCCAATCCTTAGAGAAATTTTAGAGAAATTCTCAGATTAATCTCAAGATCACCACCACCACTCCATCCTCAGCGGGACCGAAGTCACAAGCGGCTTTTTGTGGCAGGGCTGCTTTTCTGTGCTACCAGCCTTCCAGCATCTGATTCGCCAAGTTGCTGCACTGAACACATGGAAGGGGTAGTGATGGGAGAAGTTGCTGTAATAGAAGTGCTCTTCTGGAAAACAGACTGAAAGTGGAAGGCTGATATCTCTGGAGAGGCAGATTTGACGCTGTGGTATGCGGTCTAGACTGTTTGTATTTGTGGTAAAGCATAGGAAAGAAATACAGAGTAAGTTTTGTTATTCAGCTTAACTTCTCGTTTCCACATCAAGTAGGGGAAAGAGAAGGCTGTGAGAAAACCATTTATTCCTTCCCAACAGAGCATTAGATAATAAGAGGGTAATTAATCAGTCTGCAAGTTTGGATTTAAGCATTTTCATAGCAAAGTGTCCAGACTTGCATGTGCTGTTTGTTTGCAGGATCCCCCGGTTCTGGCTTAGTTGCCAGTAGTCCCTAGCAGATCTGTACCGCTTTACAGTGAACAGCTCTTTTACCTCTTCACCAGCATCCTCTATTTTCATTCCTGCATGCGAGGGAGGAAAGGATAATGCCATCTGCAGGTGCAGGCAGGTAGAAAATGGATGGACTCTGGATGACGGAGAGGTGGTGCAGCAAGGGATGAAGGCATTGAACGGCACAGGGATGGGGACAGAGTGGTCTGTACCCTCAGGCTGTGCCACTTCTGCAGGCAGGACAAAAGCAAGCTCTCCTAATGTCCTGCACCAGCCTGATGGAAATCAGCTCCAAAATTAAACCAGTGAGCCAGAGCTTGCCTGTGATGGCTGTGCGGAGGAGCAGACCGTATTGCTGGGACACCGGCCCACAGCTCCACTGGCTGTGGAGGCCAGATCCCACCCTGGCTGCTGAAAGCTGTGCAGGCTTCCCTGGCTCAGCTATGGACCGCTGTGTGGGCAGGGAGCTCAGGGAAGATCCATCCCACCCCTCTGGCTTTGCTGTCTGAAACCTGCTGAAACCTCAGCAGCACACTGAGGCTGTGCACAACTGCTGCAGTTCCTGATGGGCAGCTCGAAATTTTGCATGAGGGTGACCTCAGATGGAAAAAAACCCTTTCCAAGTGATGAGGATTTCTTGTTGTTGTTGTTGTTGCCTATTTTAACTTTGGTAGCCACAGATTAATGTGTCCCACTGCTAAAGCAGCACATAGAAGTGCAAGGCAGCTGGGGGACTGAATAGCTATGAATAAAAAAAGAGGTAGTGCAAAATGCATGAGGTAATGTTAAGGTTCCAGGCAAAGGTTAACCCCTGATCTTTCCTTATTAATAAAGCTGCCGAAATCTTTAACTTTCCAGTTACATGGTAATGGCAGTGTGCCTGGTCCTTTGGCTACTTGCCCTTTTTGTTTTAGAAACTAAAACACAAAACATGTGTTACCACTCTATACCCGGGACCAATCCTTCGTGATGCTGAGCATATCAATCACCTTTGGCTTCAGTGTAAGAGCACGGGGCTCAGCCCTTCCCAGGACTGGACCCACTGTAGGTTTTTGCTTCGCTTTTGCATACCTCTACCCTCTTTTCTTCATTCCTATGGAGATTAGCCAATGAAAGAACCACAGAAGTGGACATAAATTTCAGTGAACTTACCCTTGTAGCAATGACAGTAGTTGGGTTTGGGATAACTCTGATGCTTAAAGTCACTGTTCCAGTTTTAACTAGGCGTGTAGCTTTGTCCCTGGCAGATAGTAAATTGTCATCTGTTATAAAGACGTGCAGTCTGTAAATCCAGTTTGTATCAAATCCGCTCTCATAGTTGAACCTCGATGCAAGAATCAGCCGAGACGAGTTGGAGCCAGCGCTTGGTGAAAAGGTGAAATGATTGTTCACGTTGCCTGAAAGCAGCAGAAAAAAACCAAAACAATGCAAAAAAAAAAAAAAAGGAATAAAAGAGAAAAGCAATCCCACATTAAAGTAAATGGTTGGAACAAGCAAAAAGATCAGTTTCTGTTGACAACTTATGGATCACTATACACCTGTGCAGTGAAATATCATTGATAAGAATGGCTCCTTGATCTTCCTGATATCACGTAAAATCAGATAAAACAATATAGTCGTAAAAGCATTAAAATATGGAATAAGACCCTCTATGGGGACACAGCTGAGGAGAGGCTGTGGAAACACTTCAGAGCTGTAGGGCACGCAAGAGGCCACCGGAACGACCTGTCCTTGCAGCCTGGACAGCACCCAGAAGCAGCAGCGCCCAGCGGGGCAAGGGCCCTACGCTATTGCTGGCCTCTTCCTGCTACTGGGGTGTCCCTGGAGCGGTCCCTAGGCCACATGGACACCACCAAAGTCTCCAGAGGCCTCTCCAGCCCCTCTCCATGGCTTCTCCCTCTGCCCAGAGGCAGGGGCCTTTGAACAGGTCCCCCAGAAGAGAGATAATGACTCAGGGGATATTAATTGTCTCCAGGGCTTTGTCTGTACTGTGGGACAGGGAGGAGAGTTCAGTGATGATGGCCCCTCAGCCCCCCAGTTTCTGTCTGTGTAACTGGAATTCTGCTAGTGGCCTGGGCTGCAGGTAGACGAGCTCTGGCTCTTGGGCTCTGAGAAGACCACACACAGGAGAGGTCAGAGCCATGAAAAGGCACTGGATTTGCTTTGGTTTTGCTCTTGTTGCCCCACAGAGCTCCAGAGTTGAAGTGACCTTGAAGGCCATGTCTGTCATGCCACACAAAAGGGGCCATGGGCTGCTCTGTGGCTCAGAGACCAACAGCATGGCACAGCTCACATCCATACAGCCGAACCCCTGCACATTCGCCCTGGTCAGCCCATAGAGAGCACCTGCCAGGCAAGGTCCTGGGTCCCTCAGCAATGCCCAGAACCTCTTTGGGAAGGTACTGCTGGCACAGACCAACTTAATGCTTCAGCAACATGAACCAGTGCTGGACCTGTGGCCAGACCCTGATTTACTGATACAAACACAGCCTTCATATGGGCTCATGTGTAAAGACCACTGCTGCAGAGGTCCTCCGTGGTGTTGAGGGTCTGCAACAGGACAGAGGTGCCCTCTTTGCATGCTCACAGCTTTTTACTGGAACCTGCTCGCTCCTTCTGAGCAGTCACCTCAGCAACAAAAAAAGAAATTACTTCAAGAGAGTACATTCCCCTTTTTGTGAGGCTAAGCATCATCCCATACCATAGCAGTTCTTGAGTGGATACAGTTGATTACTAGGTTTAAACAGACCATCTTAAAATGGGGGTTTAATGCATACAGCATGGACCTAGGACATGCAGGTTTGCTCGGTCGTTTCAAACAGTGTACCAGCAAGTAAAGGTGAGGCCTACAGAGTAACAGAACCCACCACGCTTTCTCAAGAGTCACTCAGCTGTAAATGGAAGTGAAATTTGACCCTGCCTATCATTCCAGCTCATTCTTCTGAAGTCTTTCTCAACTATGCAATTAATTGCCAATTAATTAACATGGTAGGCAATCCAGTCTTGCAAGGGAATGGCTCTAGGTGGTAGCACCAGTAGCCAGCTTGTGGAGAGACATCTCTTTTGGTAAGCAGCAAAGTAATGATGGGCGAAACTTGTGGATCACAACTAGCCCTCCATGCACGTAGCACATAAACTGTGAAAGACTTTTGTTTATGACTCAAAGCAAACCATCAGCATTCACTAATTTTTGCAGTGCTCCCGGTTCTGCACTGTGACACAGTACCTTCATTAATGAAGTAACGGAAAGACCTGGGATCAGAATCACGATCCTGACATTCAATCCTGAAGCCATTGATATTGGTCCCAACAGCTAAGCTGACTGGGATTTGAAATGAATAGAAATTGGGTGAACAAACGGGTTCTTCATCATTTACTTCCAAAACATTGACAGTTACCTGAAAGAAAAGAGCAATAGCAAGCTGAAGCTCCTCCACTGCGCTGAGCCACATTTTTATTAACTTCAGAAACTGTTTGGCTTTGCCAGTTTTGCCCTTTTGGTCAACAGCAGTTGAAGAGCAATGAACCTCCCTTCTAATCTAGTTTCTACCAGAAAACGTCTGTGATCATTTGACCTTCAATTCTTGTGATCAGCACTCTTCTGGAAACAGGCTCTTTAATGCGAACCACCTTTCAAAACCACTGGGGTTTCGATCTGAGGTGTCCGACTCTGAATTACCTGAAGTGTGTCATAGTAAGAATGAGAAAGAATAATAGTACCACACATTAATTAAACTTCATTTTGCATCTCTCAAATTGCTTCACAGTCATTTGTTAGGCTTCTTAGCATATTTAATAATAATTCAGCGCATAATCCATGGAAGGAAGGAAGGGTCCTTATACACTGGCTGTTCCCAGTGAGGGAGAAATGGTGGTAATGGCCTCCTGCATGGCTGGGAACACCCCGGGTAGCGCCAGATGTGCTTATGTCGCCTGGGATGGGCTGACTGAGAGAAAAAGGTTACTCTTCTCAAAGCTCTTTCCTCTAATGTCTGTTAGTCTTTAACATACAACAGATAGACGTGTCATCGTTACAACCTCCTGATGCTAAATTTTCCTTAATCATCACCTTGAAATATTATAGGTGATAAAGAAATTAAGTACCTCCCACCTAGCATCTCCATGGGTGGTGCCTGGCTGGAATAGAAAGCAGGCCTAGTACCTGTTCCCCCCCCCCACAGATGTGCAAAAATCAAATGTAAGGCAGTCATGAAGGAGAAGACATGAAAAAGTGTAAAAAGGAGTCTGTATGTGAAGGACACTGGGATTTTTTGAAAGAAGTGATTGTAACATACCTTTGTGGTTATACCGTCTCTATTTTTTCTTCTGAATAAAACAGGTCTGGGCAGAAAACTTGAGCAAACCCCTACTGTTCAATGTTATCATGGTCCCTGGCGCGCTCTTGGCTCCTGCCAGATAGCACCATTGGGACAAAACTAGATCACGGTCAGGGGGAGGCACATGGAAGGGTCCATCCCCAGCAGGCCACGTGGACACAGCTGTACCGGGTGGGCCTTCTGACATTATCCCAGAGGCTGCCCAAGCCCTCATCCCATCCCCAAGGTAGGCAGCATGTCCCCTCTGTCCCACCCCGTGGTAACACAACTCTGATGGGCCGCAAAATGATTCTCACACTACTTTGGGCACTTTACAGTGAAAAAAGTCACATACAAAATCAAAAGTACGTTTGAGGGCCAAGGGGTACTACACGAGGTCCAAAAAGGGCTTGGCACTAAGCATGGCTAAAATTAGGTTGTGCTACCTGGCATCAAGACCCTTTCCTTTTTCCATCTTCTGGTACAGATGTAGCCAAAAATAATATCCTAAATTGTCTAGGGCACAGATATCACTGCCCAGGTGAAATAAGAAAAAAAGACTGAGAAAAAGACCCCACAGAGTTAAAAATACAAAAATATTACTTTAATTCTTTTCTGTAAGAAACAAAGCAAGACTGAGTGAATACCACCTCTTTCATCCAACTAATATACAGCTCTGTGCAGGGGTAGACTTGCTTTTTACAGGCCAAAGTGCTTTGCCTAATGTCTTATCATTCTTGTCAGGAAGAACAGGGGAAAATGTAGATAAAGGGGGAGAAGTAGAGTGGATTTACTCACAGATGCTGTTGCAGACTTCTCTTGGTCTGAGGCCTGTACTGTGAGAATGTGTTTCTGAGTTGTTTCATAGTCTAATCTAGCTAAAATCTTCACATCTCCTTTGGTTGGGCTGATCCAGAAGATATTTGTGTAATCCCTGGTGCCTCCTCCGGCTACAATGGAGTAAGTGATGACACTGGGTGGCCGGTCCTTGTCTCTGGCATTCACTCTTCCAATGCTGGATCCAACTGAGAGACAGAAAATCCATATTTCACTAACATCTTGAGGAAACTGAAGTACTTGTTCCAACCCAAACCTGATTAAACTGAACTAAAGATTTGTTTTAGAGTTTTTCACCCCAAAAAAAGTAAAGCAAAGGTGTGAGAAATACTAGTTCACCATGCTATGGCTCACCCCGTGTACGGGCTTGCCTGCTAGCAACAAATACCAAAACATGAGGAGTCTGTCGAGAACCACAACAGAAGTGCTCTGGCAGTGAGGGCCACCCCGAGCTCTGCACGGACACGCACGAACCCCTGCCTTGTGGCAGCCCAAGCGCTGGCTTGGTTGGAGGAAGAAGGCTCCCTGTCTGCTTTGAAAAGCAATTGCTGCCGTTCCTTCCAAGGTGTTTGAAAGGCGGTTTGAATTGCCTTTGTGCCGAGCATTTATGAAGCAAACTACAAATGGCAGTGCTGTAAACTGTGAGAATGGAGATGGGACTGTGCACACCCAGCGCTGCAGACATTGGTTCAATGCTAAATGCAGCCACATGACCCGGAGATATGCAGGATGAATAGTCCACATGCACAGAATAAGACAGAAGGAGAATGGAAATCAAGGGATGGCATTTTTTTCTTTCCTGACCCTGTGAACTCCAGCCCTACTGCAAACCGTTGGTACAGTAATAGCAAGCACCCTGTTAATGTCAACTCAGCTCAAAATAAAAGGGAGTCTGAGTCCAAAAAGCATTTCCCTTGATAGTCTCAGTGTCCAGCAAAGTTCTGTGGCTGACAGAGAGAGGTTTACAGGCATATCCATGTCACGGATGGGTTTCAAGTATTATATTTCTAAGGTACACGTCAGTGGTATGAGGAATAGGAAATGCCAGAAAAATCACTTTATCGGATCCACTGGGAAACAGCGTAGAAAGCCAAGCTCCATCCATGCACCACAGAAATGAAAGTTGAGCAAGAACACGAGGCTGCTGAGCAATGCAAGGTGCTGGTATGAACACCTGAAGGTCAGGGTCCTCTGATTGCTGAGTGGCCGCCCTGTCCCTCCTTGTCCCCTCTTAGCCCTCCTTGCTTTCCTGGCAGTTTGGCTCCTGCAGGCAGACCCCCCCAGGAGCCAGCCTCACCCCCAGCCTCTCCAGCTCCCTCCCAGGCCATGCTGCAGCTTCCCCGTACCCAGCAGTGGCCGATGACAGCTTCTCCACAGGGCCAGCAGGAGTGATTTTTGCAGACCTGTGGACCTTGGCAGGATGGACATTGTGCCCATGCCTGTGGACCAGGCAAATGGACACAGAGGCACCATAGAGCCCACAGTTCTGCTGACCATAGCCACAGCTGCCTTCGACCGTGCTTGGAGCCTGCCCTGGCCGGAATAATTTGATGAATTCAAGCAGATACTAGATTATCTGGCTGCTACATCTGGAGTTTCATGGGCAGCTTCACCGTGTTCCTCTCAGATGCAGTGATGCAGCTGGACGTCTTCTTTGGTGACGTGGCCATTGGGGCAGGTTTGTGAGCAACAGCAGCCTGGGGCAGTGTTGGACGTGCTGGAGGACAGGGCTGCTGCTCAGAGGGGGCCAGCAGGCTGGAGCTACAAGCCAGCAGGACTCATGTTGCTCAGCACAGACAAATGCAAAGTCCTGCACCTGGGTCAGAAGGAGCACAGGCTGGGACTGAGCGAGCAGGCAGCAGCTCTGCAGGAATGGACCCCAGGCGCTGGTGGACAAGTTATACATGAGGAACCAGAGCACCTTTGGGGGCATGGAGAGAGCATACTGGGGCTATAGTAACAAGCGTGTTACAGGCACATGGTGGGACCACTCCACTCTGCTCAGCACTCATAAAGCTACCTATGACCAGTTTGGGGGCCCAGGTACAAGAGAGGTGCTAACAAACTCGCAAAAGTCTGGGAAAGGCCACTAAGATGTCAGGGGGTTAGGCAGAAGATGCAGGAGGAGAGGCTGATGAGGCTGGGTTTGTTCAGGCTGGAGAAGGGAAGGCAAAGGGGGGATTTAATTGCTTTGCTCTACTACCTAAGGGGTGATCATACAGAAGACCAAGATACACTCTTCTCGGAAGGGGAAAGTGAAAGGGCAACAGAGAATGGACACAAGCTGCAACACAGGAAATTCCAGCTGGGTGCAAGGTAAAACTACCTGGAATTAAGGTTACTCAGCTGGAACAGGGTCTCAGAGAGGCTGTAGAGTCTCAGTCCTTGGAGATTTTCAAAATTCAGCTGGATGAGGCCCTGAGCAACCTGATCTAACTTTGAAACTAGCTTCACCTTGAGTATGAGTTGGACATGAGACCCCCAGAGGTCCCTTTACATCTTCAATTTTTCTGTGACCTTAGGAAGTCCAGAGTGAGGGTCAAGATTTATCCAGCATGTATCTAATGGACCTCTCAATCTTTTCTCAGCCAACAGAATAAAGCCGGTAAATGAGGTCCTGGGACAGAAGGCCTGTGTTTGGTACATTGAGCCGTATGAGGGAGAGGCTGAAGCTGGGGAAGATGCCATTCCCATGCCAAGTCCTCTGTGCCCCAAGCAGCACAGCACAGAGCAGGCTGGCACATGAGGATCACCAAGGAGGCAAGAAGCTGTGGCACTGTTCTGCAAACTCATGAGATGCAGGACTCGCCAAGGGACAGGAAGGATGCTGAGGTGGGAGTCAAGCACGTGAACAGTTTCAACCAAGTCAGTTTTAAGGCCACATTTGCCGCTGCTGGTCCTGGGCTGTTGCAGGACTGGGAAGGGCCCTGGTTCCAGCCACAAGGAGCTGCTCTGGCTGCCATCTGGCTGAGCAAAGCCTCCTCCTCCGAGCACTCCCATCCCACCCCATCTCCAGGGTAACCACTTCACCCAAGGTGAGCTGGGTTTAAGGGGACAGTGGGGTGGCCATCCTGCACCATGCCTGGGCCAAGGGAGTCCTCACTTGTCTGTGTCAGTCTATAGCGCTTTCTTTGCACCATCACAGTCCCTCCAAAAGGCTAATTTAGCAAGAGCAGAAAGACGGTCTAAAACAAGACATCTGAGTTCAGTTTCTGGCTCTGTCACAGATTTCTTGTGCAATTGCTGAATTTGTCTGTATCTCAGCTTCCATCTGTCCAATTGGAGTTGTTGCCAGTTTTGTCTATTTAAGGGTAGTAGGTGGTTGTACGGTGAGACACCGGATGAACTGGAACTTTGAGCCATTCTCCTCATTCAAATATATGAAAATCCATTTGGAGCAGAAAGGTACTCATCAACATGACAACATTATTTCTATCATGTAGGTGCTACTTACTGTACCTTTAGTAATTTCTGGGACATTAAATTCGTATGATAAATTACTGAAGACTGGAAAAAATTCATTCACTGGCTTTATCCTGATGTAAATGTAGATCATATCTGGAAATATAGCAGAAGATTAAATCATAGTTAAGTATGGCTGTGAAATTTTCTCATGCATATATTCAAAATACATATGGTATTCTTCTCTCCATGCTGTTATAGCACAGGAAAATATCAAAAGAAGTGTAAAAGGGATACTTGCTTGAGTAGTTAGGGCAGGCGATATCTTGCACCCTGACAGTCAAAGAATAAACTTCAACTCCTAGATTAGCTGGGTTTTCTAAATCAATACTTTCAGTCATCTAAATTTAAAAGAAACACAATTGCATTTATACTTCCTTACACAAAGTCACAATACACATGATGGCAATTACTTTTTCCAGTGTTCTGTAAGTGTGGCCTCCCCCTTAGATATACAGAATCACCCTGCAGGAGTAATATAGGCTATTAATCAATTACAGGATTGAATTCCAGGCTTTTTCGACATGTTCACGCTCTGGTGTCTCTTGGCAATTCAAAACCATTTCCTTCTGCCAGCAAAATGTATTCCCCTGAAGTGCAGGAAGTTTTATCGTTTGGATCATAAGGTCTTGGCCTTTTTACCTGGTTAATTCAAAGAGTATGTAATGAGCTGGCTATTTGCTGTGCCCTTTGTTGGCTCAACAAGAATCTGCTGTTGCTAAATAATAATAGTTACTTCTTGAGCTCATGCCTGCAGAGATGTATTAAAGGTGTTGGGTTCAGCCACAGGTGTTTACCCAGGAACCAAGTTGTTACTAAATGGTGGCTCATGCAGATCTAAATCCTAATCTCCTGAGCTCTCTGTCTTTCTGTAGGGGCCTCATAAACGCTGGGGCAACAGGACTAAGGCACAAGCATCCGCTGTTTATCGTCTACAGGGAAATTCCTGCAGGGACAGGACACTTCAGGCAGCCTGTTAGATTATACATACGTGGTGATCAAAGGGCTGACAGCAATCATATCCTGTGCAGCCATGCAAACGCTTTTTATGTTGGCAGATGGAAGCAGATAAGGGCAGTGCTCATTGGCATGTATACCTCAGATCATAAATTAAAGTATGTCATGCAAAATTGTTTTACTGCTCCTGTAGCACCCTTGCCAGAATGCCTATTTTTTGTTATGTTTCCCATTTTTCTGTATTTGTCCACAGTTCTGTTTAAAGCAATGAAACAACCACCATTGCACACATCCAGCAACTGGTAGGGGTTCTGGCCAATGCAAATGTGCAAAATGCACCTACCAGCATAAGGTACCCGTATTTTGTGACATGCAAAATAACACAAGTGCAAATCCCAAGATGCTTTTGTGAAAATGTACCACTCGAAGTGGTTTTACAATTCTGACCAGTGAGGCTGGGAAGTAGGTACTGAGTGTGGGATTTCTCAAGTGTTTCAATTCTTCATGCTGAAGAGCAAGGATCTTCCGCAGTCTGTCATGAATAAATGGGTATGAAATGGCATCGAATTTCTCTGTTTATCCATATCAAAGTTGGTGCTTCACACTCCCTAAAAAAGGATTTTTTTTTCAATCATAGCTAGCACATTTATTTAAAACTGGAGAAAACAGTTCTCTGTTCACCAAATTCTGTAGAATCCATAGAAAGCATCCTACCAAAGGGTGTGTAGTTCACATCCAGTCAGAACAGTCATACTCCACATCATAGCCACTGCAACATGAATTACAGTAATTCTTTTTTTCTTGTACAGACAATGAATTTAAAGAACTTATGATATTTCTTAAGTTGACTTTTGAAATGGGACAATCTAAAATAAAGCCTCAAATGACTGACCACAAGTCTTCCAGATGCAGTGGACTCCAGAGCGAAGTTATTGCTTCCAAAACCAGATAATCCAGTGAAATTAAATTGATTGTTTGATGGATCAACATCAATATCTTTACAGTAATTTCTAAGATCAAGAAGAAATGTCCCAGGAGCTGTATTTTCATTTGCCTCTCTCCTGCTTAAAAGAAAACATTTCAGATCAGAGCTACTTCTATTTCTCCCCTCAAACTTTTTGTGTATTACATGCCAAAACATTGACTTCCATTTATTTTCTAAGTGAAATCCTAAATCTAAATAGGCCACAGCTGATGAAGCAGCCCAGTATTTGGTCCAGATGCTGTGGTGGACAATGGCCCTGTACAGTGGGCAAGATACAAACATTTAGCCAGATCCAAACCATAAACCTGGAACTTCAGAAGCTGCCACATTGCCTTTTTTTTTAATCAAGAGAATTAAATACAAAAAAAATGAAGAACCAACTGAAACACCATTAAGCCCTGATTTTGTTCCCTTGTGCAATCCCTGTAAGACTAGTTCTTTATTTGATTGCATTTTTTCCCCTGGCAGTTTTTGCCTCTTCCAGATCAAAATTTAAGCTCACTAGATAACAAAGAGCCTGTTGTGTTACTGTAATGGATGTTGTAACTAAGCAGCACTCTGAAGAACTGGATTCTCTTCCTGCCAGTATGTAAAACTATGTAATTTAAATGCAAGACATTCCTATTAAATAGTGAACAAGCAATTTAAACAGATACCTACTAACTGGGTATTCCTCATCGCATAGGTCCTTCGCCTGAGACGCTGGATTTTCATCTGCAGGACCGTCAAACTACCCTAAGTACACCTGAAGAACTGCACTATGCAATGCAAAGATCAGAGCCCAGGCACATCAAACACTTCAGATGGACAACTTGGACTTCAGACTTTCTGTGACACACTTCATCCATAAAACGGAATTAACGTTATGTCCTCACCTGCAAATATAAACTACCCGACCATCACAAAGGTCTCAGAGCATTCATAGCCATAGCAAAATCCATGACTAAGTTACTATCCACAGAGGACACCTGTAATGAGAGGTGATCTGGGCTCTGAAGACCTTGCACATTACATTAGACAAAACCCATGCAGGTCACCAGAGAGAAATTTAGAAGAGAAGATCAGGAAGTGTAAAATAAAACTCCAGAACTGACTGGCAAGCTTTTCCTGATGAATGATTGATTCCCCACATTTTAGCATAAAGTAAGAAAGGAGGAGCCTGGATCTGCATGGGTTAGAAAAGTAACTAACACATGGCTCTGATGTGCTAAGGGTTTAGGTATCTGAAAGAAAGATAAATAAAGTATCTGACTATACGCAGATATTTTTAGTCCAAATTTCCAGTTTGAACATGTCAGGAAATTGGATTTTGTGCTCTAAGACACTTACAGTGAAGACTAACCATTAAAGGCTTAAAGATAAATGTCCATTTGAACCTCTAGCTGTAGCAGGTCTGGGGACCCTAACTGATGTGCCCGAGACTGCACACTGGCCTGGGGCAACAAGGCAGCACTAAAGCAATGGAGAGCCTCAATACCTGAAGGTAAAAGGATTGCATTCTGGTGGGTTGTCATTGATATCCTCAACCATGATTGTGATCTCCATTTCACTGGCGTGACCGCCACTGGGACTGTCTTCCACCCGGACTATCACTGAAATGTTAGGATGGCGCTGCAGTGGAAGGGCATCTCGGTCGATCCTCCCAGTCACGTGCAACACTCCAGTCGCTGGGCAGAAAGCAGCCAGAAGTTAGATGCTCGCCATGGAGGGAAGTAACAAGCACCCGTGGTGTACATGCAAGAGGACAGGGTACCTCTGCAAACAGGTAGCAGAAGAAAAAATATTTTGTTCTGCACAAATCATGGCTGGTTTAGTTATTTTTTAAGATGGCACAAAATGGGTCTGAAAGTTCTGTGTAAGACTTCAATGGATAGATACCCATTGCTCAAAAATACACCATAGATGGCCTCAGCAGAGGGCTTGCAAAGCAGTTAGATTTCCCTCACGCTCGACAGAGCTAGCGCAAGTCAGAGCTGAGTGCGCTCACAGAGCATCGAGGGCGATGAGCTGCTAATGCCTGCGCTGTCCTTGCTCTCTAGTGGGTAAGACCGCTTCACTCTCTTCTGTTATCATTCAAGCATCCTTCAACACCTCTAAATCTACTCACACATCAGCAGAACTGCTCTTAGCTGTGACAGACTGCACTAAGTGCTCTGGTCGGCCACTCACTTAATATTTTTTTTTTCACTTCTGTTAGCCTCTGTTCAAAAAGAGAAGGTTTTTGTGGCAGAGCACAGTACTATTCCCAGAGCACAAAGGAGGTAAAGGAACAGCGTATATATCCTCTGCCTTTTGGAGTGTAATTGAGGGGGAGGGTGGCAATACCTGGCCAAAGGACATAGGGAATCCAAAGCATTTAAGGATCAACCTGATCCCCCACAGCGCTGTGCTGTGTGGCACCTCTTACAGCTGTGATAAGCAGTTCTAAAGCAACAGCAGACAAGGGGCAAAGCAGTCACCGAATGCCAGCCCTGGAGCAAAAACCTCAGGGCACTGGTGTAAGCACCTCAGAGAGCATGGGGAGACAGGACCAGCATGAGGGATGGCCTTGATCTTTTGGATGGCCTTGCCTGGGGAGGGTCATGAATCGAGCAATGAAGCTGATGTGCAGATTTGCTGTGCACTTGAACGCTAGAGCAGGTTTCGGGCAGGAGAGAGGACATTATGGCCTAACTGTGTGCAGCTGTTTCAAGAGCCCTGGAAGGGTCACTGCAGTCCTCAGAGATTAAAAAGAAGGCAGCTAATCTTACTTCCACCCAAGGGACCATCACCCTCCAGCCATCAGTCAATATTTGTCAGTAAGTCACCTTTAGTCTACTTTCTTCAAGATATCTTGGTCAGCTGACTGAAGAATTTGACCCTAGTAACATACTGAGCATTTCTTATTTCTAGGGATAGCCACAGAATAAAGCAAGTCAATTTAAAACTAAGGAAAAAAACATTTTCTCCAAAGTAGCCGCTCTCTTTTTTGGATGTCAGAAGCCACATTTTTGTTTGTCTTACCTGGATTTATGGAGAAATATCTGTCAGAAGACTGGATGCTGTAGAAAAGCCGGCTGGGAGAGCCTTCATCATCAGGATCTCTAGCTGTTATATTGGCAATGATGGTGCCCGGGCTTTGCTCCTCTGGAATCCTGTAGATTCTTTGTTTGCTACAAGATAAAACCAAATTCAGCAAAGCGCCCATCTGTGTTTGCAAGAGCAGCTGATCCCAGGCTTAGCCAAGCCACCAACTGTAGCAGCAGAGCTGTAGCCACGCGGGGCTCAGGGACGGCTGTTTGCATGCCAGGGTAAATGTCCCAGTCACTGGTTCTGCCAGCTGGGCGTGTAGCAAGAGCTGAACTGGTGTGTGGTTTTAAAGCATGACATGTGGTCTTAAAGCATGCCACAGACGCACAAGTAAGTGTCCTTCCCTTGCAGCTTTTTCACGGTAAAAACAATTTGACTTTCACAGAATCATGGAAGCTGAAGATGGAAGGGGTTGTTAAGTCATGCAGTCCATCTCCCTACAGAGCCACCAGCTTGTAAAGCCACTTGATTTAATTCCTTCATTTTGCAAGAGAAAAACAAAAATAGAAGCAGCAATGTAATTAATCATCATTTGGAATGAATGCTGGAGGCTTTGGGGGAACAACAGTATTACTAAAAAGCTGAGTTGCCTCTGCAGTAGGTGGAGGCAGGGAAGAGCACTCCTGTGGGTGTCCACCAGATGAACGTGCTCCAAACTCCCAGCAACATCTGTCTGATTCATTTTACATAGAGAAAATGGTTCTTTACTGCTGCTGTTTAGTATGCCAGTGCTCCCAGATTTCCCATGAATTAATTGATTGTTATAGCTCAGATACAGTCTGGCAGGCAGTTGTGCAGGATTGCTTATAATGGTTGCAGTTGCATGTTCACATGGGTACTCAGGTATGCAGTTATGGTACTTGAACCACATAGAAAAGCAGGCATGGACAAGCACACAAAAACTGTGCAAGGAATTTATGAAGGCTGACTTATTCTACTGAAACACGTGCAAACATACAAACATCTCCTGTTTCTAAGAAATCAAAGGGAGTTGAAGGTGCTCAAGAGTTCAAAAAAACATCAGAAGTGTGTTTCAAGACTGAATCCTTTTTGAAGGATTGTTTTAAGCTTGCTACGCCACCTATGCCACTTAGTTAATTGACCAGTCTGTAGTTCCCAGCATAGGAAAGCATGAGCCCTTCGTTGTCCTCTGAAAACCAATATCATGGGGCACTTAGCAACTGGAGCAGAGAATGGCAGAGACGGAACAGAAGATCCCATGTCTCCAGGTCTCCACTCGCAATCTTAAAAATGGTTAAGAAGACACAGCATCTTCAGCTGTTTTGACAGCTCATATGAAAGGAGGAAAGCATACCGGGGAGAAATCGCATAGGGTTTTCCCAGTAAAAACACCTAACTTACAGCCAGAAGTAAACAACGAGTTTGGGGAGGCTGTGAAGTCAGTGTATTTATTAAGTTTCTATCTCATTCTTGGCACCGGATTTCTTCCTTTCTCATTCTCCTGTTGCTTCCAGAGTCAGTCGGAAGCAAAACAAATAACAACAGATCTCCTTCATTGCTACCAAAAATGTCAACCCAAAATGCCTCTCTGATCGCTGGGGAATAGGGGAGGGACAGCCCTAACTGGTTTTGGCTCAAAGTAGGGAACTCCCTGTGCCCACAGGGACCACAACTCTGACCTCTCTGTGGACAGCAAACCCACCGCAGCTCCACCTTCACAGCCCTGCCAGCCCCGCGGCGCCTTGCGCGGGCCATTGTCTGGTCCCCACCGGCTCTCTTGGGAAGAACTCGGAAGTTTTTGAGCACATCCCCATAGCACTGAGTACTAGTACAGCTGCGGAGGAGTTGGGGCCGCTTCCTATGCAGCTGCATCTGGGCTGTGTCCTGTTGTCCATGTGCCTGCCACTTGCCAGTGGCTTTTTACAGGATGGTTCAAGCAGACCTTTTAGGCACTGCAATGTAATTGCGAAGGAAGCGTATGTTTGTTTTCTTGTCTTCTCCTTTGTTTTCCTGACTCCGCAAGTTTTCCATTGATTTTAACAGCCAGAATTTCAAAAGGCTGAGTGCCAATGTAGTGTTGTGAACACCAAAACCAGATGTGCTTGCATCTACTATGGGAACAATTTAAAAGACCCTTTGAAACTCTGTTCTTGACAGCTTTGATCGGGAGAAAATATGGGAACAATTTAAAAGACCCTTTGAAACTCTTGAAGTTCTTGACAGCTTTGATCGGGAGAAAGTAAAGAAGGTTTGCTAACTCGTCAAGTTTTCCCAGCTCCCATCCCAGCACTAATTATTACAGTGTCAGAAAGTACGTAGCCCCAGCATGCAGCTCACATTTTGGCAGGGGAGACGCTGTACATGTGCATACTGAGGACAGCTCACAAAGTGTAATTTAATCTAAAGTTCTTTACAAACTGAGCTGCTCTTTTTGGTCTGTAGTGTCAATCTAAAAGGGAGAAGATTCAAATACCAGGCCTTATCTGTGCCATATGAGAACTGCATCTTAGACCTTAGGTGTTGCGGATGTTCAAGTCACTGCAAGCTTTCACTAATTCGAACAAGTAGATAAATATTTAAAAGAGCTCCTTTAGCATTCCAGACGTAAGGATAAATAAACAGAAATGGCAACATTTGGAGGAAATAATCAGTCTAGAGCACAATGTGCAAATGTTGGTGCTGGGAAGAGGACTCCTCCTGCTTGTAGCAGTACAGTAACATGGAGCGAGCTGTTAAACTTATGAATTATTGCAGACATGAAGTAGCAGCAACAACAAAAAAATCCATGTCTTTTTCTAACATTTTGTTCTTCTGTTTCTTCAGATTCTCCACCCCTTTACCCAGCAAGGCCCAGATCCTTGGCCCCAGCCCAGGAGCCATGCATTGCTCTGGCAACGCAAAGCACCCAGAAGATTGCTCCAAACAAGTGGCTGGAAACCTCTTGGCATGGCCCAGGTACTACATTATCTTCTCCTTTGCCTAGGTGGCAGGAGGGCAGCCATCATCAATATTCTCAGCAGGGACCTCGTAGAGCCTCAGGATCAGGAGACATAAAGAGAGTGTCTTGAATCTGATCGGTGCCTCATGCAAGTGACAAAGATAAGTCAACACCAGAAGCGGATCGACTGCAATAATTGTCAAGCTCCTGCTTCAGCAACAATCGTCCATCGTGCTTTCTACCACCAAATAGCCTGCTGGTGGCACATGTGTATTCCTTCCCATTTTTCCAAATTTTCAACAATATTCCTGGTTCCAACTAAAACTCCGTTAGTCCTCAAAACCTATTTCTGACTTGTGTGTTATGACACAATTTCCTGCTTATGACACAGTAAGAGACAACAACGTTTCAAAGATTACCAGGATTGTTTACAAGTGTAAGCATCTGCAAAGAAGAGGAAGACAGATCAAAAGTGAGACCTTTGTATGTCTAGACATTTCTGCATGAATAAGCGTCATTATGGTGAAATGCACATCTGCATGAAGGGTAAATTCTATATGATTGTATTCACACGGGGTAAGATTCATCTCCTTGTCTGAGCTTGTCTATAAAGGTCTTTGCATAGCTGTAACCTCTCTGAATGCTAACAAGTACAACAAGCTTGTTTGGCTGTTCTTAGCATGAAGGCAGAGCCTGGAAAACTTGAAACTATTACGAATATAAATAAGAATAAAAGAGGGAAATGAGGGCAAAGCTTTCCAGTAAAAGAACAGAAATCATAACAAAATGAAAACACTGTTTTCAGTAGTATTTTGTTGTTATATTTACTTGCCCTTATGCTACACCCTCCCATTGGTGCCAAAGCAGTAAAGCTGGGAAAACATCTACTTTTTGAGTACAATGAAAGTTTTTCACTCACGTGGTAAAGTAAGGTACTTCATCGTTGATGTTAATTATCTTTATATTCACTGTTTTAGTTGAGTTCAGCCCGCCTGGATCTGTCACTGTTATATTTAAAAAGTAACTGTTAAATAAGAAAACAAAACAAGAATAGTTCTGTGGCTATGTAGGAAAGCATTTCTCTGCCTACCATAAGCTAACAGACCATGTGAATAACATACACTCTCACCTGTGTGGATCTTTCTCATAATCAAACTCTTTTGTGGAAAAAATGGCTCCGCTTTCCAAGATGAGGAATGGCACTGTTGCAGGGAGCAGTGAATACTGAAATGAAGACCACAAGAAATTAGTCTTTTTATCTTTAAACATTCCTCCATTCATTCCTTGCTTTGTAAAATCAGCCAAGTTATAGTACAGTATTTGCCTCAAAACTGCGCGTATCGAAATGTGCTGACATCCAGATGCCAGCACAAGCCCTGATCGTCTGAGCTGAAGCAGCTCTCACTTGGTTGTACATGCTTTGCTGAACAGCAAGGGCTCACAGACACTGAATTACATTAAAGCCTACACTATTCTCTACTTCCATGAATTCCAGCTCTGCAGTGAGAATTTAACATAGAGGCTAGCCAGCAGAGCCACAGCATGGTAGGCAAAAATCAGCTTTGTGGTGGCCCCAGAAGTATATGCACAAGGAAAAGAGAAGGGGTGAGGCTGGATCCGGGGGGTGTAAGACAAGCTGCACAGGAGGCAATGAAGTTTAGGGGTCCAGATGATGGGAGAAGCCAAGAAGGGGAGAGTGGACTTTCATGGAGTACCCTCATGTGAGGGTGTGAGGCTGAAAGGTGTTTGCAACAGCTTGGTGTCACCGTGGCTGTTCAGCGGTGGTGCGTAGCGGCAGCCACGTTGTGCGTTGCACGGCACACATGGGCACCACGCCAGTGCACGGGTGCGGGAGGGACCCGAGCACCCTGACACCCTAAGCAGCAGGGAGAAAGGCAGCACCCCGATTCCCATGGCTGTGGGGTAGCTACCACGCGCCCACCACGTCCTCCCTGCGATCATCCACGTACCCCTGCCAGGCCATCACCAAAAAGCTCTCAAGAACATTTCCTTTGCTAATGCAGGTGTTCATAATACTCCTAAAGTCTGAAGCATGCAACATCAGAGGGTCATGCACTGTACAAGTTATCTGCAAAATCCACTGAGCGGATCTGGTCCAGGGGATGCAACTGCTCTTGTGTTGCCTTTTGAAAAAAATACAGGAGGTACAGAGAACTGAGTGAAACAACTTGCCTCCCGCCGTGATAGATTTAATTGAAATTGCTTTTAAAAAAGCAGGTAGGTGATCACAGTTCTTTTAACTATTTTTTTGCCAGTTGACCTTTTCTAAATTCCCTCTCCAGATTATTATTTCACCTGTTGCCCAGCATTTCTATGTTTGCAGCTTCTTATTATGCCAGAGCTTTATCAGGGCTTAGAAGGTGCGTGGAACTCACTGCCGCTGCTTTTGGAAACAAAGCAGAGCTAAACCCCGGGCCTCTGCTTCCCTCCTCACCAGCTCAGGCTTGGTGGTTTGACTGGGCAAAGCCTGCGGACGGACTCCAGGGTAATTGCTCTCTTGAATAACGCTACACATGGAAGTAGCCTCTTCAGGTTCAGTTCTTGGATGTGCTGTGTTTTATAAAGCCAAAGCCAATGAAGCAAAGCTACAACACAATTCTTAGGTAAGTGCAGTCGCTTTTCTCCTGTCTGCAAACAAACTTATCACTTTCCAGAAATTTTTGCTGATACCAGGAGTATTTTCAGATCAGCTGACACATTTTCTTAACTGAAGGTCACAATTTGCCCTGGGATTGTCAAAAAGCTGAGATTCGGTTGCCTTGTAAGCGATTTCCTTACTGTCTCATTTAAAAGAACTTACATTGCAATACAGAAGGCTAAAAGTTTTATTTACTCTTAGTCACTCTCACCTACAAGAAATGTTTTGCAAGCCATTAAAAAAAAAAAAAGAGACACAATTTCTACTGTATCTCTGATTAACTATATCAAACTCTGCCTTCAATATCCCTTAATTTTGGAGGGCTGAGAACTCAAAATACAATTTGTGTCCAAACATCAAGGCTGGGTTTTCTTAGTTTATTATTGAAAATGCTTCTTTTTTCCTAACTAAACCTTTTCCTGTTCCTGATGAGGAAGTAAGTTGTTGAAAGATGCTGGCAATTAGCATTTCAGATACAGTGGATTACATCATCTTTGGTGTTTTTTTTCTTTAATACAACTTACTTTGAGTTCAGCTTTCTCAGGATCAGCTGCATCAACTTGGTAAATGCGTCCCAGAGGTGTTCGTTCCAAGACATAGATTGTCACAGCTGCATGGATATAAGTGTACTCAGTGTTAATTGGGTAAGAATAAAGGACACAGCAGCAAACATAGTGATACACCGAAGCTGTCCAGACCTGTTACTGCCTGCTGCATCTTCTCACGTCACAAGGGTCATTCCAAAACCATCACAAAGAGCACAAACACTCAAAAGATAAAAAGAAACCAATTGCCTACCTGTAAACAGGCAGCCGTCACTGTGAGCTGCAATATGAGTTGTGCTTTCTGGAGAAAGACTGATCTTCACATATCGCCAGTCTTGAGCTGCTCACAGGGTATGGAGTAAAATGATGCATTTGGGCTACAGCGGTGTCTTTCTTTACAATGCTGCTGGGGAGAACGTAGCCCTGTGCAAGCTCCTCATCGCCATCCCCTCCCTGTCCACCCCCTGCCAGAAGACCTCAGAGCCTTTCCTCTTAATTTCTGCTTTTCCTTTACACCTGCGAGGTAAATAAACAGTGGATGGTCTGTGCTGACTTCAATTTTTGCCTCATTAAGGGTGCTAATTCAGTGCAAGGCATATTTCTTCCCATGTCAGGAATTCTCACAGCTGGGCCATCCCGTACTGGGCCACTGGCAAGGGGCTTAGCTCTCCTTGGGTGTAGTGATTAACAGAACAACAGATCTTTAGATCACATTATTTGCTTTATGCCCTTTTGTGTCTGCTGGACCTGCTGTTTCTGGACTATTAATTTCCACTGTGACCCCTGCTGACTGCTGATTCTCATCAGAGCAGTGGGAATCCCAGAGCAGTGTAATGAGTTGTTCCCAGAGGACAACAATATGAATATAAAGTTTAATGAGAGGGAGATGCTTTTTCATAACCAGCGAATGCGCAATTAGTGTCTAATTGTAGCCGGTACTGTTAACTAAAGCCACACGGTTAGACAGATCAGACATCTGTGCTCACCAATTTATGGCAGCTCTAGCTGAGAGTTAAGCTGATGCACTTATTTGTAACAAGCTCCCACGTAGAATGTGCTTCATGCTGTGCCAATCCCCTGAAGTGTCACATTTAATTATTATTAGATTCCAGCAGCACCCATGATATGCAAGGCACCAGCTACGCTGCGAAGATGACACAGCCTCTTCCCCAGGGGAAGCTAATTTGCTTTACAAACTAAGTATTGTATGGAAGCAGGAACGTCAACGTGCTTCGGAGGCATTAGTGAAGCGAGCTGGATTTGAGCATTGGAGCCGGCCTGGGCTGAACCCGTCCGGGCAGACAAGCCCTGCCCTCTGCAGCAAGCAGAAGCCGAGGCTGCAGCCACGCTGCGCCCCTGACCGCTCCAAGGGCTGCGAGTCGCAGCCGGTGTAATGCTGCCGCTAGTCCAGACCAGGGGGGTCAGCAGCCAGCTCCAAACACCTGCCATGAACGGATCACAGTTTGATATTTTCAGATAGAATCATAGAATACTTTGGGTAGGAAGGGACCCTAAAGATCATCCAGCCCCACTGCAATGAGCAGGGGCACCGCTAACTCGATCAGGTTGCTCAGAGCCCCGTCCAACCTGGCCTTGAATGCTTCCAGGGATGGGGCCTCCAGTACCTCTCTGGGCAACCCATTGTAAAGAATTTTTTCTTTATATCTAGTCTAAACCTACCCTGTTTTAGTTTAAAACCATTACCCCTTGTCCTGTCACAACTAGCTCTGATAAAAAGATTTTCCCCATCTTTCCTATAGGCCCCCTTTAAGTGCTGAAAGGCCGCAATAAGGTCTGCCCACAGCCTTCTCTCGTCCAGGCTGAACAAGCCCAACTCCCTCAGCCTGTCCTCACAGGAGAGGTGCTCCAGCCCTTGGATCATTTTTGTGGCCCTCCTCTGGACCCGCTCCAACAGGTCCATGTCCTTCTTGTGCTGAGGGCTCCAGAGCTGGACGCAGCACTGCAGGTGAGGTCTCACCAAAGCAGAGCAGAGCAGAGGGGCAGAATCCCCTCCCTTGCCCTGCTGGCCACGCTGCTTTTGGTGCAGCCCAGGTTTGGCCTTCTGGGCTGCCAGCGCACATTGCCGGCTCATGTCCAGCTTTTCTCCACAGAAAAAAAAATTTAATATTGAATTGTTGACTGCTCTTCCATACATGCTGTTAGAATATCAAGGCTCAAAACCAGGCTCTCAGTACCTCATGAACTAATAAGAGCATATTTTTACGCACACCCTGAACTGTTCTGTCTGTGTGTGAACACATAATAAATACGTCGCTATACTCTGTCGCCTCATGGTACAATTCTTCCAGGTTCCTCTCACTGGTGAATAAACAAGATAAGATTGCTCAGAGAGTAAGGCAGCTATTTCCCGTCCTTCTGATTGATGGCATTGTCACTTGTATTAGGTACTGCATGGCATGCAAAGCCTTGCACCGACGGCCGGGGTCCAGACACTCCAGCCTCATTCCTGAGTCTACTGCAAACTCCTCCCTGTTGCACCTTTGCCAGTGGTCTGAAAAGCAAACCTGGCTAAGGCCATCTGCGCCAGGCAGGAGCCTGAACCCTTTGCCTCTTTCCATTTGCACCACCACAAATCACAGTCTCCGAGATCTCACTCTTAAACTGATTTCCCACTTAATTTCTCACGTGCAGGTGCAATGCAATATGCAGGTGTAGAACATTGGCAAAGCAATGTTTTTATCATTTTCCCTCAGAAATTCTTGCACATACACAGTATACACTAATTTAAATTTATCTTGCTTCTCCAAATCAGTCCAGTTTTCAACAAACTACTGAAACACATGCCCATACTCAGTAGTTATATCCCCAGAAAACTTCAAGTTTCTAAGGCATACCTCTAGATAGTTATTTATCTCATCAAAAAAAGAACATATAAATTTATTGGTATAAACCCCTTTTTTTCCCTTATAATTCTTCAAGTGCTTCAAAATGGTTAAATCATTTTTGGTCAAAGCTTCAAGAAAATTAAAAGGGCATTTCCAGAGATGAAGCATACCAAATATTTGTGCAAAATAAAGCTCTGATAAAACCAGTGTCCTGCTGCTCCCTTGTTTTCCTGAAGGAAAATGCTTAGACCACTTTAGCTACAGGCACTGTGCGCAGCTACAGGGCTTTTTTTAATCTGATGTCATCTTTTCAAGTATTATTCTTTCCAATACCACCACTATCTTACTTTGAATTGCCATATTTCCTCGAAATACAGGACGTTCGTTTTTATCTGTTACATGGACAGTCAGTACATTAAGGTCGGTTCTCCCAGCCGTGTCTTCAACGAAAATCTGTAAATCAAAGCTCTTTGGCATAGTTTCATAATCCAGGACAGGGTTTCCAGTGGTAACAACCTGAAAAGGAAAAATTATTATTAGCACATGATGTAAGAGATATAAGTTATGGTCTATACAAGTGAATGAATACAAGTAAAGGGAGACTTTCCATCAATAAGCGGTGAGCATGTTAGATCATCTTCTACTTGCTGGCACATTTCTTGTCAGTGGCAGAAATGTGGGAGAAACAGCATGGAAAGACCAAAATGTTGTGGCTTCATGGAGCAACTCAAGGACCTTTTGTGTGAGGGACAGCTTGAGGAGGAGAAAGCCTGGAAGGAGCCGTCCTGCCTCAAAGGCAATGCTTTGCCTTCAAGGCCAGGACTACATATTGCAGGAACTTGTCTGTGTCAAGTCCTCGCCTTTCCACACCAAGCTCCAGGAGCACTCGAGGTGGGATGAGACTGAAAACTGGGAGGAAGCCCTGTAAGACACAAGGGCAGCTTCACTATTTCTGTGAGTTAGGAGGATGAGGGGGGAGAAACTTCTACTTGCAATAAGGAGTGTGAGGGCAGGAGACTAAGGTCTAGCAGGCACCAGCCCCGTCCTTGTATAAGCTGGGTCTGGGAGACGACTTGCAGGAAACCAAAGAAAGAGGGGAGCTGCACGAGCACACTGTATGGGAGAGGGAGTAGAACTGTTTGGTGAAAATGTTGAACTAATTGAAAAATAAAATAGGCCTTACATTTTGTAAGATTGGTAAGGCAAACGTTTGCTTTGGGTTTTTTTTTTAAAGACTTCCAGCTCTGCGCACCAACTCTTAACACAGAAGATGCGCAAGCATAAGACTGAAATTCCATGAAAAAAAAAAATTAAATACATTCATTTTGGATTTAGGGTAAGTCCAGAGCAACAGCAGGATGGTGAAAGTTGTATGCCATGGTCTTCACTGCTGAAACTAATAAAGAAACAAGAACTTTTCTTTCTTGGCCCAGAAAGGAAAAGGTGACTGTTAAATTTGCTGTGTAGCTAAAAATCTCTGAAGCTTGAATACCAGCAGCAGGGATGCTGTAGAACTGGAGAAGGAGAAGAATTGGGGCTCACAAGTGTGTGTAGCAAGGAGAGTGTCAGTGCATTCACAATACTGCAGAGTGGAGGAGCCTGGGGAGGATGCAAAGGAGAATGATGAAATAAATCTTTGATTTTAGATGAGATGCCATGGCCAGAGGACAAATGCAAAAGTGATGTCAGCACAATTAGAAGACAGAAGCCAAAATAGAGCCAATTAAGAAAGACAGTTGGAGGAGAGTGAACAGAAGCACAAGCATTTTATGCCTTCTGGTCTGTAAAACAGCTGCTCTCCGGAACCTTGTGGATCTTTTTGTTACAATACTGCAGGAGAAAACAACGGTGTCCTGGATGGTCTCCTTCTCTCCTATATTGTGCAAATAGAAGTTTCCCATAAAAGTGACGCTAACTCAGAAAAAACATGCTACAAAAGCTTGTAATGCCAATGGGAAGGTTGTTCTCCAAAATGAATGTTTGCTGGAGATCTAAATACTGTAAACAGATGCAATGAATTCAAAATGAGCAACTGTCCAATTCTAAGCAGAATTTATGTGCTCTGGGGATTATCCCTCCAGTTCACAGCCAAATATTTTCATTGGTGTCGTAACTACAGCCAGACTGCCTAAATACACATCTTCCACCCTGCTTTATAGAGACCTTGCAAGTGAAGATGGGAATCTAGATGGCCTCTTTGTGGGTTGCTTTTGCGAACAGCTTGCCACTGGCACGGGCTGTGAGCCAGAGCTCACCGCTTCTCCAGGTAGGAGCAATGCTGAATGACAAAGGAAGCACTGTACACACGTGAAGCAGCTGCAGACTTCGTGAATGGGGTCTGGACTTCATTATGGGGTCTAGAGTCACCCCATAACTGTCTACCCCTCGTTCCACCTGAGAATTTCACTGATCCCTGCTCCCCCCTTCACTCCCGGGTTGCAGAGGGAGCATCACTAACAGCATCGACGTAGTTTCAGGCAGCACTATGTTTTAATGCATTCAACACATCTTCTGCCTGTGGGATTCTTCAGACAAGAGTCAGGTGAGGAGGAATGGGCAGGGCTCAGATCTCAGATCTCAGAAACCAGGACTTTCTCAGAAATCTCAAAACATATCAAGAAATGTGATATTGCTTTGGCTTGCTGCAACAGGAGTAAATGTGCTTCATAAATACAGACGAGCCTGTGCTAACAGGTACTTAGCTAATCTGCAAACCCCATAATTCATACATTAAATACTTCCTTTTTCTATAGCTTAGCAGAGATTTAATGGCAGTAGGTAGGTATCTCGTTTTGGATCACATTACTTCTGTGCAATATTGTACTAATTTGCTACAACATAGCATAAATAATTAAAAGTAGCAATGCTCATCAAGTAATTGAACTAAGGACACTCATGTATTTATCCTCGCCTTACAAGTCGTAACTAGCTCTCAGCTGCTAGTTTGCAGAATTTGTATGTAGCTTTCCTTATCATTTTCTCATGACGGATATTCACTGGCCCAACTTCTTGATTTCAGTCCTGCGAGTAAGTTAGGAAACCCTGAAAACAACCGCAGTTCAAGGAAGACATACAAAGTCCTCAGAGGCCATTCTGGTAATGGGCCTGTGGTATGAAATGGATACAGACTGGCACTTTGGAAGAAGCAGTCCCCAGCCTTGGGGGATTAAAAGGGGACTAAAACTCCCCTTTCTTGGCCATTCATTTTCATCCTTGTGTCACTCTCTGCACTGTGCTAGAACAAGAATTTCTCCATCATCCCTGCCATGAAAAAAATCAATGACAGACTTTGCATCTATTTGCAGGGTTGTTTTTCCTCCAGATTAATTTGTCAGTCCCACTAAACAAGCAGCAACATAAAATGCTTGTGCTGCACAGTGTAGAGTGGCATGGGACAGGAACAAGCAGGTATAAAAAAGGGCTATGTTTTGCAGCAGAAGGGATAGCTTTAATTCGAAATGCCAAACTACAGCCCAGGAAGGGAGTCCCACATGAGGAATTCACTGTCAGCAAAGCCGCCTTAAGGGACATATCCATTTCCATCTGCCTGTTACATCTCCTCAGCTGAGCCAGTTCAGGTGTTCGTGCAGCCACATCCTACGCTTCACAGGTGAAAGAGCGCTTTGTGGAGAGTTTTTTTGACCATTTCATGGATCTGTCTGGGGAACAGCTAAAGAACCAGCAGAGGTGGCAGAACTGAGCTGGGTACTCTGCTGGGAGTGGGAGCGTGGGGGTGGGAGCAGCTCCCCCAGGCAGGTTGGATCAATGAGCCGCAACTGCCTAGGCTCACGGTCTTACTTTCCCCACATTTTATCCCAGAAAGACCAGCAAAGAGAGCAAGAAAAGAGCCCTTTTATCAGTTCTGTGAAAACCTGAACTTCCTTGGAAACACCCCGAAAAATGTATTCAAATTAACTTTGTAAGTCTCTACTCAGCGTCTATCCATATCTTTTAAAGGCACACCTCAGTGTCACTGTTCAGGCTCAGACATACAAGCCAGTTACAACGGGATGACAAGTTATCATGTGTCTGAACACTCATTGCCGGTGACAAATGTGAGCTAATACTTGCTAATTTATCCAGCAATGAAAATTACCCTGAAGTAATAGAATTTGCCTTTGCCATAGGACAAGAGCACGCAACAGCCAGAAATAGATCACAGATGTGTGGAAGTGTGATAACTTCTAACCTCAAGATAACTTCCTCATGTGTCACAGCCTTTGTTCAGAATTAAATACGACTTTGACCTGACTCAGCTTATTTTATTTTGGGAGTCAAATTCATTTTAATTCTAGGTGAGAGTGGCTAAACAGAAGCTGTGTGTGGTTTAACTAAGCCACCTTAAATTCACAATGACTTCATATAAATTAAAAAACTATGGACAAATCCTCAAAACAGAAGCAGGTTCTGTATGTCCTTCTTCACCTCTTATTTTCCAAAAATCAAGTTTTTTACTATGACAGAATAAGTGTAATTATTGGGATAGGTGGGTTTTGCCTAGATGCAATTAAAAATTATAATCGTTGTTATTAATTTGTCACATCTGTTACAGAATGTCCAAATACCACCACAGTTTGCATTTGCAACTCTTTTCTGATTAAAAGATGAGTCACTGTGCGCTGTCAGTGCTCAGTAAGCCAGGAAGCATCGGCCTACGTGACTGAACGTTGCTCAGGCTAAACGTAAAACTCACCCTGTATTCGAGATCTCCTTTTGATTCAATATCAAAAGCGTCTGTAAGTGGTTTTGAATTTACTATGGTCGGAAGTATTGCAACCCCTTCAGAAGACAGTGGAGAAACAGTTACATTAAAGGTATAAACCAAAACACCAGCTGCTGCATTTTCTTCAACCATGCTTGTTGCAGGTAAGCCCTTAAGCAACTGGGCTCTTCTTCCTGCAAGATGAAAATGAATGTAAAATTACTTCTGGGAATCTTAGGCCAGCAGGAGCACACAGCTTGTGCCAAGAGCTGCCATTAATGAGCACAAAATGACCTGATTCTCTTTTTGCTTATGAATGGTGGCATCGCGCGGTAGTAAATTCAGTGCTAATGGCAAAAGAATCAGTCTTTTCTCTTGTTCAGTACTATACCATACATCTAGAGTGGCTGATGTTAAAGTCGTATTGTTACTGCGTCGTTTGCCTTCATACATACCTTTATACAGAAGCAAAGAAACTGAACATGTTTCTACTATTCCATTTCACCCCCGTGCTAATTGCTGCCCCTGTGCACTGATCACATCAGAAAGCACCTTGAATCACACAGAGCTGGATGTTAAAGCAGCAATCTTTTTTGTGGACTACACCATCTGCAGCACCCATTTCCTCCATTCTCCATCTTCTTATTCTTTCTTTCTAGCACAGCTCTGTGCATGCCTGGCTCGTCAGCACTGTGAGTTAGCAACAACTTTGGACTGTTGTGCTGTTGAGTCTTCTACTTTGAGCACAGAAGAGCAACCTCCATTCCTTGGAGAAGATGTGGGCCCACAAAAGCAACCTATGGTTCAAAACTGC